TCAAATCTTTATAAAATTAAAATCAGGCTCATGGAGGTTCTAGCACTATCAAATTTATTTTTAGAATAAGAATAAGAAAAGTTCCAAGAGCAGAGGATGTGACTCAGTAGTTGAACACTTGAAGAGTATGTTGTAAGGAATGCCCTGGGTTTGGTGCCCAACACAAAGTAAATGAATAAATAAATTATAATTTAAAAATCCTAAGTTCAGGGCCAGAGAGATGGATCAGCAGTTAAGAGCACTGGCTGCTCTTGCAGAGGACCAGGGTTCTATTTCCAGTACCCACATGGTGGCTAACAACCATCTATAACTCCAGTTCCAGGGGATCCAATGCCCTCTTCTAACTTCTGCAGGCATTGCACAACACGGGTGCAGTTACTTATGCAGGAAATACATAGAAAATAAAAATAATAAATAAAATAAAAACTGTAAGCTCCTAAATCTTGATTCTCAAGTTCTATGCACACAGGCAGCAACTGGCGCTTCTGGAAGTAGCCTGAAGACACTGCTGCTGTCAACGTGCATGGACTGTAGCTTGTCTCTGGTTTTAGGAGTTCATCTGTATTAATTTTACAAGCAGGTCAAGAAGGGATAGGATATCTAGAGTGGCCAAACTGGGCTTTTCTTTCATTTTTAAAAAGTGGTGTGTATGTGTGTCTAATGTGATATGCAAGTGGAGGGTGTATGTGCCATGGTATGGATGTGAAGGTCAGAGGACAATTTTGTGGAGTCAGTTCTCTCCATCCACCTTTTCATGGGTTCCAGGGATCAAACTCAGGCTACTGTGCAGCAAGCACCAGCTGACCCACCTCTCTGGCTCTGAGCTTCATATTCAAGCTAAGTTTGATGGGACATGACTGTGAAAGAGGGAAAGGGCAGGGCAAGCTATAGGACAGCACAACAGGCAGTGAGAGAAAAAAGCATAGTGTATTGTGGGGGCAGTAAGACGACAAGGTTCCTATGTTCAAAAGGTAATACTGGGTACTAATGGGGATCAGAGAGGAAAAATCAGATAGCAAGGAGCTGGAAGGTCAGATAGTATATTCTAGATCTTGTCCTATAAGAAATGGGAGTCCCTGGGGCTACAAAGGTGGCTCAGCAGTTAAGAGTACTTGCTTAGACCTTGCAGAGACCTGGGTTTGGTTCCCAACACCCACACCCACAGCTTACATCTGTCCAAAACTCCAGATTCAGGGGCTCAAATGCCCTTCTTTGGCCTCTGAGTATACCAGACACACATTTAATGCACTCACATACAGGCAAAACACTCATATACATACAATAAAAATGAATAAATCTAGCCGGGCATGGTGGCACACACCTTTAATCCCAGCACTCGGGAGGCAGAGGCAGGCAGATCTCTGTGAGTAAATAAATAAATAAATAAAATCTTAAAAAATAAAAAAGAATGAACTGGAGCCCCTAGAGTCTCCAGAACAGGAACCTGCCAGGTACTGTATTTACTGTGACTATGGTCTCTCCTCTCTGGCACACTAGATAAGTCTTCATCTGAGGTTCTTCTCCTCCCTGTACCGCCCCACCCCAACATGTGAGGGGATAAGAGATAACAGGGATTTCTGGAAAGTGAGCTGGCTTAAACATCCCTGGCTAGGGGTTCAACACAGCAGCACCCAACACCAGATGCCTGAGAATGACAAAGATAAATAGGCCTGGGGACAGACAGAGGAAGGCAAGGATCTCTTAGCCTTGGGGCTGAGAAGGAACACATGAAATATGGACCCTCTCTGTCCAGTGCTGACAGGGCAATGCTTGCAGAGTAAGTCCCCACCCTAGCCAGGGCTCTTTGCCAAGTTTCCAGGCATGGTGGCACACACCTTTAATCTCAGGACTTGGGAGGCAGAGGCAGGTGGATCACTCTGAGTTTAAGGCCGGCCTGTTCTACATAGTGAGTTCAGTTACCCCTGTCAGGCCCTGAGAACTCTCTGCTCTCTCCAGGTTTACCTGGTTGACACACGGCTGTTCTAATATTCCTTGGGAAATCTATTTCCCAGGGCCCCAGCTACAGCAGGTCCCAGAGAGACCTGATTTGGGGGGCGGGGGGTAGACACAGCAGGAGAGGGGAGGAAACCAGAGCCAGCACCTGTTCCACAAGAGAGAGGAACCCAGTGGCTGTTTGGGACCTCAAGCTGCCCTCGCTATAGCAGGACATTTACCCAAGTAGACTCCCAGGAAAGAAAGTGTGTATTATCTTTCTCCATTCCCTCTTAATGTGCAAATTGTCCTGGGTTTTTGTTGTTGTTGTTGTTGAGTTTTTTTTTGGTCTTTTTGAGACAGGGTCTCCCTGTAGCCCCAGCTGTCCTGGAACTCATTATGTAGACCAGGCTGGCCTTGAACTCACAGAGATCTGCCTGCCTCTGCCTCCCGAGTGCTGGGATTAAAGGTGTGTACCACCATGCCTGGAGAAGTATCCTTTTAAAATTTTTATTATTTTTTATTTTATTATTTTATGTGCATGAGTGTTTTGCCTGTATGTACGTGCACAACATGCATGCAATGCCCACAGGAGACAGAAAAGGGTGCTGGATCCCTGGAACTGGAGTTACAGGCTATTTTTAGCCACCATATGGGTGCTGGGAATCAAACACCGGTTCTCTGGAAGAACACCAAGTGTTCTTAACCACTGAGCAATCTCTCCAGCTCTGTATACTTTTTTTTTTTCTGTGTATGAGCGTATTGCCTGCATGTATATGAGTGCACCCATGTCATGCAATGTCGCAGAGGTCAGAAGAGGGCTTCAGATTCCCCTGGAACTGGAGTTAAGGACAGTTGGTGGCTGCCATGTGGGTGCTGGGAATCAAACCCAGGTCCTCTGCAAGAGTAGTCAGTGCTCTTAACTGCCAAGCTATCTCTCCAGCCCCTACTTTTTTTTTTTTTTAATTAAGTTAAATTTTATTTTTTAGACACGGTCTCATGTAGTCCAGGCTGGCTTGGAATGCTCCATGTAGCTAAAGAAGATCTTGAACTTCTGATCTCTACCACCCAAGTGCCAGGATTACACACATGTGCCACCATGCCTACTAATAAATAAATAAATAAATAAATAAATAAATAAATAAATAAATAAAAAGATGCTTGGGACTAAATCCTTCCTGCATGCTAGGCAAGCACTCTACCAACCAAGCCACACCCACAGCCTGAGACACATTTCCAGCCCACAAAGTGTCCTTTCTAACAGCTGTCTCAGGCCCCACATTCCCCAAGCACTTTTCCTCCAGAGGCCTTGCCTCTGAGTCCAGGTGGCTATAGGTATCACCTAGGACAGGGGTTGGACCACACCCAGACTCCCATAGGGGCTGCTCAGAGGCCAATGCTGTACCCCACCCCAAAGACCCAAAGAGGAAGTGGCCAGAGAGGTTAAGTAACTGTACAAAGTCACATGGCTAGGAAGCACTAGCTGTCTTCTGCCAAACTGTGATTGCCATGGACTCTTGGAGAAAGGTTTTGCTGGGTAGGACAGGCTCAGCACCAGCTGGTAGAGACTGAATACATGTCATTGTCACAGCACTCTAGACTAAGGAACCCATCCTGCCTGAATCCCACCTGAGGCTCAGGTAGTGACTTGTTAAAGTTCACACAGGTAGAGAATTGTGGAGCTAGGATTCAAACCCAGGGTTACTGTACCCCCAAGACAGTGTTTTTCCTTCCTCACTGACATCTGCTCCAGGCAAGAGCTGTAAGACTCCCTCCCAGCCCCGACTCTGAGAGCCATTTCCTTGTCCCCTTGGATACCAGACCTTTACCCCTCTCAGTGCTGTGTCTTCTTTTGATTCTAAAGACCTACAAATTGGAGTCAAAGGGTCATTGGCTCTTTATTTGTTACAGGTGGTAGCTCTGGTCCTCAGTAACTAAATTGAGGAAAAGGAAATTTGCTCTGCAGAGCCCAAGCTGAGGTGCCTCAGAAGGGTGAAGAGGGGAGAACATGCATGGAGTCAGATGGAGCCAGGTCTCCCGAGTATGCCCACCTTCCCCCTCCAGGTGCCCCTGTGTAAAGAGAATGGCAGAAGCATCCAGGAATCTGCCAGTGCAGCCTTCTCCAAACCAGAAATTCTTACGTAGTCCTATCTTGCCCTTCTGTTGTCAAATGAAATCTTCATTCCAGGCCATAAAATATCCATATAAGCTTTATTATTAAAATGTTCTAAATGACTTACTGGTTAGGTTACCTAGCTTCTGCCCCTCCCCTCCCCATCTCTAAGCAGAATTGGTAGTGGTGCTCTTTAAGCACCTCCCAGCTTTCTAGGCCTCTCTGCTTCACCTCCCTACCTCTGCTGTTCAAAACTCCCTGGCTCCCTGCCCTGCTGAGAACAGTGCCTCACAGGGCTGAGTTACCAATGTGCAGCCCCTGGCTCCCCTCACCTTCCTGCTTCAAGTTTATCATTCTCAGCTGGAAGGGCTGACAGAAAGGAACCAGCTGGCTTCAGTGCTGGGAAATAATTACCCACCCAAGATCAGGCAACGAGGGCGGCACTCTTCCAGCCACAGCCTTGCCACACCCCCAGCTTTCTCCATCTTTAGCAGCCCCAGAGCTCCCCAAGACCTCAGCAGGCCTGCACTAGCTCCTGGTATCCCTTACAAAAGCCACTCAGCCAGCATGCCCTCCATTCTCTATAATCAGGCTCCAGCTTCAGTTCCCTTCCTGTAGTTCCCCCGTGGGGGCTGAGGAACAGGGCCAGTACAGTGGGGGCCTGCATGGCCAGGCCCAAAGGCTCTTAGTCCAGCTGCGGAGTCTGGCAGTCTCTTGGTGCCCTTCCGGAGGGAAGCCAGGAGTCAGTCTGGTTGAAATCCCAGCTCCAACACCACCGGACAAGTCTCCTGGCCTCCAGTTCAAAATTAAGAGAAAACAAAAATGAAGAGCGATCATGAGGCTCAAAGAAAAGAGGTTCCAAGCAAGTTCTGCAGTCGGCCTTAATATCCCCAGGGCCCTTCAGGACATCACTGCTGTCCTGAGGCACACTTGTCATGCGAGACAGGGCACTCACCAGTGGGTGCTTGCGCTTCCGGCCAGGCCTCCCCACCTTCCGGGCCGTGGCACTGGGCTCCTGGCGTTCCTCTTTGCCACGATTCTCCTCCTGCTCTTCTTCCTGTGGGCACAGTTAGACTGTGAGCCAGAGCATTCAAGAAGCACTGTGTTCCAGGCCATCTGGGCTGGCCTTGGCACCTCCTGTCCCACCTCCACAACAGTCACACTTCCAGGGCTGTGCCATACTGCCTCCACCCCTCCTGTATGGTAAAGCTGAGCCCCATCTAAATACATCCTGGGGACTGGGGTGCAACGAAGTAGCAGAGCATTTACGTAGCATGTGTAAGTTCAATCTCTAGCACTGACAAAATAAATTTTTGTTTGTTTTTGAGACAGGGTCTCCCTGTAGCCCCAGCTAGCCTGGAACTCACTATGTAGACCAAGCTGGCCTTGAACTCACAGAGGTCCATCTGTCTCTGCCTCCCAAGTGCTGGAATAAAGGCATGCACCACCACACCCAGCTAAGAGGTGACTAAGTAAATCCTAGAGGGCCTGTAGGGACCCCACTGCTCCCTCTGATAACTCTCTCTCTCTCCCTCCCTCCCTCTCTCTCTCTCTCTCTCTGGTGTATTGAGTAATGGGATTATAGGCATATACCACCATACCCAGCTTTGATCATATTGTCTCTTTGTGTGTAGGTGTATACCCATGTTTGTGTGTGTATATGTGTGTGGAAGCCAGAGGTCAATGTTGAGTGTCTTCCTCAATTGCTCTCCACCTTTTCTTTTTGAGACAGGGTCTCCCTACTGTAGCCCCAGTTGCCTGGAACTCACTATGGAGACCAGGCTGGCCTTGGATTTCACAGAGATCCACCTCCTGAGTGCTGGGTCTAAATGTATATACCACTATGCCTGACTTGCTCACCACCTTTTTTTAAAAAATATTTTATTTTTTGTATTTTTTTATTTTTTTGGTCTTTTTGAGACAGGGTCTTCCTGTAGTCCCAGCTGTCCTGGAACTCACTATGTAGACCAGGCTGGCCTTGAGCTCACAAAGATCTGCCTGCCTTTGCCCCCCTCTGCTGGGATTAAAGGGTTGTGCCACCACACCAGGCAAGAGCAGCCAGCTGCTGAGCCATCTCTCTAGCCCCTCTACTTTTTTAAAAAATTATGTTTATTACTTTTATTTTTTGTGTATGAGTGTATTGCCTATATGTATGTAAGTACATCTGTGTCATCCAATGTCTAGGGAGGTCAGAAGAGGGTGTCGGATCCCCCTAGAATTAGTTACAAATGTTAGCTGCTATGTGGGTCTTGGGAATCAAACCCAGGTCCTCTGGAAGAACAGCCAGTGCCCTTAACCACTGAGCCATCTCTCCAGCCCCTTTGCTCTCCACCTTTTCCAAAAACATTTTCTTTTTAAAATTTATTACATGGGGCTGGAGAGATGGCTCAGCAGTTAAGAACAATGACTGTTCTTGCAGAATACTCAGGTTTGAATCCCAGCACCTACATGGCAGCTAACAACTGTCCGTAACTCCAGTTCCAGGGGATCCGACAGCTTGTTCTGTCCTCCTCGGGCATTGCATGACACAGGTACACTTACTTACCTACATACAGGCAATACACGCATACACATAAAATAAAAATAATAATAAAACAATTTTTTTTTGGTCTTTTTTGAGACAGGGTCTCCCTGTAGCCCCAGATGTCCTGGAACTCACTATGTAGACCAAGCTGGCCTTGAACTCAGAGATCCGCCTGCCTCTGCCTCCCAAGTGCTGGGACTATAGGCATGCGCCACCATGCCCGGCTCAATAAAATATTTTTTTTTTAATTTATTGGGGGCTGGAGAGATGGCTCAGCAGTTAAGAGCACTGGCTGCTCTTGCAGAGGATCTGGGTTCGATTCCCAGCACCCACATGACAGCTACGAAGCGTCCTTAACTCTGATTCCAGGGGAATCCGAAGCCCTCTTCTGACCTCCACGGCACTGCACAACACGGGTGCACTCACATACATGCAGGCAATACACTCATACACATAAAAAAAAATTATTACATATAGGCAGGTATGGTGGTACATGCCTTTAATCCCAGCACTTAGGAGGCAGAAGCAGGCAGATCTCTGTGAGATGGAGGCCAGCCTAGTCACCATAATAAGTTTCAGGTCAACTAGGGCTACAAGAAGACCCTATCTCAAAAAGACCAAAGAAAAAAAATTACTACATATATTTGTATGTGTGAGTGCGCACACACATAAGCACCGCAGTGCACATGGGAAAATTAGAGGACAACTTACCGGAGTTCTCTCCTTCTACCATGTGGATCCTGGGGATTGAACTCAGGTGGTTAGGCTTGGTGGCAAGCACCTTTACCCACTGAGCCATCTTGCTGGTCCACCTTATTTTCTGAGACAGGGTCTCTAGCTGAACCTGTAGCTCAATGATTCAGCTAGACAGCCTGGCCAGCAAGCACCAGGATCCTTGTCCCTACCCCCCAGCCCTCGGCTTACAGGTATGTCCCACTGAACCCAGGTTTTACATGGGTGCTGATGATCTGAACTCAGGTCCTCATTCTTATGCAGCAAGCACTTTACCCACTGAACCATCTCCCCAGTCCCCATGTTTTCTTTCTTTCTTTTTTGGTCTTTTTTGAAACGGGCTCTCCCTGCAGCCCCAGCTGGCCTGGAACTATGTATTCTAGGCTGGCCTCAATCTTACAGAGATCTGCCTGCCTCTGACTCCTGAGTCAGAGCCACCATACCCGTCCTGTCCCCATATTTTCTTAATCACAAGATTGTAACACCAGCTCTGGTGAAAAATTTGTTTCCAAGTTTATTTGGTTTTGGAGCTTGGGATTGAACCCTCACCTTATATATGCTAGGCAAGTACTCTACCACTGAGCCATATCCCAGACCAGAACTTGTTTATTTATATGAAAAACATCTTACAAAAGTACAAACATTCAACGAACAAGCGATTTAATGAATCTTTATTGAAAAGATGATAATATGAAAAGAAATGGTAAGTTAAGTGGCACTGGTTTAAAACACATGCAGTTCTTGAAATGAGGCCTCTGTACAGAATGCAGGCATTGTAGACTTAGAGCTGCAGTAGACATCCCTGCCCTGGGTCATGTGGCACTGGCCCTGCATATGTCATCACCCCATAGAAGTACCTGGGGTACCATGTCTCAGCCCCTCTTGATCCTTCTCATTCACCTAACTCTGCATGCTTTATTCCTACCCCTCACCCTGAACTTGCTCAGGGCTGAGACCTCTGGGTATTCTCTGGGGGCAGAGAGTCACATACCTAGAAAGTCCTGCCTCATTACTCCAGCCTGGCCACAAACCACCTACAAGTCCCTTCTGACTCAGCAGGCTCCAGCATGACTAACCACCAGCAGAAACAATGTTGGGGAAGGGGAAAGAAAGGGCCCTTGGCCCAACCAAACAGCAGCAGGCTGCTCCCCATGCCCTACATGCTATCAGTGGCTGGCTTCACAGACCTCCCTGGAAGCAGAGCCAAGACACAGTGACACTGGTACCATGGATGGTGAAAGCAAGGGTACCCAGGTTTCCTGGAGAATTGAGATAGCCCTCCATATCCCATTCAACTTTCATTTTCTGTGATTTCAAAATAGCTTGTGGTTTGCCACATTAATTTTCAGGTGTTAGTAGGACATGTGATGAAGGCTTACTGAGACCAACCACAGATATCAGAAGGACAGGAAGAGTATCACTGGCCTATCTGTCTGTTTGTCCATCAGTCCATTCAAGGCATGTCTGTGAGACAGACTATCACAGTTCTAAGTTCTGGGAGACCCATGAAGACATGTGAGTGGAGATGACAAAAGGCCATGGCTCAGCACCCAGTGGTGGGGATCGTCCAGCTTGCAAAGGAGACAGAATGGTCAAAGGCACAGAAGAGGCTCCCAGAGCACTGTAGGAGCAAGGAAGAAGAACTGCTAGGCAAGAGGCCATATGCAATGATACCGATTTGGTTAGGGGTCATCGGCCCTCTGAGAGCACTGTCATTGAGCTATGCAGAGGACCAGGGGCCAGAGAAGGGCTGGAAAGGACCATTTAGTAAACCCAGCTAGAAAGGGTCTTCAGGGGGAGTCAGGGGACTACAGAGGCCTGAGAGGCTGGCCCTGAGACCACAAATCCCTGAAGGCTTTTTTCAGGAGAGGCCAGCAAAGGAGGAGTAAGAACAGAAGACCAAGGGAGACAGAGGGCCTCAATAGGTCTCAAAAGCCCTGCCTCAGGCAATCCAAGGACAAATGCCCAAGGGAAGCCAGGCTGCTGGTTCTGAGCTGTCTCTCAAGGTCCCAAGGACACCCATGCAATAAAAGATTACCAGTGCTACAGAAAGGAAATATGACCCATGTGGCTCAGTATGTGAGAATCAGTAGGGGATGTCCACAGCTTTGGTGAATTTTATGGTAAGGAGTTGCTTTGGGTCTAATTCTACCACAGCTTATTGTCATCTTTATAAAACTATCAGGGGTAGTATGAAGTTATAGAGATGGCACAGGACTTGGAGCAGACCAAAGTAGGTCCAGAGCACCTATTCCTTCACTATGGGAATCAGTTTCCTCTTCCACAAAATGGGAGTATGAACACATCCATTCTGCCTGCCTCTCAGGTTACTCAAGTGAACAAATGGTTGGTCTCCTTATCTGTTTACTGCTTTTACTTCAGAGCTTAGGATTCTAGAACCATCACTACCGAGAAATTGTGGGATTTGAACTATTTAACAAACTACATTTATTACAAATTTATTTATTTGGGATATATTCTGAATAACTAGAGATGTGAAAGCATCCAGGCATGATGGTACACTCCATTAATCCCAGCACTCAAGAAGTAGAGGCAGACAGAGCTCTAAGATTTCCATACCAGCCAGGGCTACATAGTGAGACCCCGTCACAAAACAAAACAAAACGGAGATGTGGAAACCAATCAGGGTCTCTGATCAGGAAAAAGAAACCATGGGCACAACACAGTAATGACCTTAAAACAAAGACAGGTAAACTGGGGATGTAGCTCAGTTGATGAAGTGTTCGCCTAGCATGCTTGAAGCCTTGAGTTCAGTCCCCAGCAGTGCATAAACCAAGTGTGGTGATGCATGCCTGTAAACCCAGAACTTGGGAGGTAGAATGGAAGATCAGAAGTTCAAAGCCATTTTAGTCCTTGACCAAAACAAAACAAAGACACATCACATTTCAGCATAGACATGCCTCTTCTCCCATCGATCACATAGAAAAAGGCTCTTGGGTCTTTGACAGGAAACCCCATGCCATATGGCTGTGGTCCCTTGTTTTACCCCAAACATGCTGTCCAGGCACACTGCACATACTCAGTCCATTTCTGTCCCTACTGGCTTCAATTCAGGGTAACCTAGCCCAGGAGGAATGGGTAGATGCCTTGATGTCACATTACCTCTCCAGCACCTGGAAAGCACCAGGCAGGGTATTGTGTGCCAAGCCAGAACCACTTGCCCAGCATGGAGGTTTAGTCCCTGCCTTTTCCATGTGGCTCTGAAGCACGGCTTTGTGGAAAGCCTATCATTCTAAAGTGGAAGGCATGCTTTCTGCTCTGGCCTGCCTGTGGTTCATGCTGCTGAACCAGGGCTGATACACTGAGTCGAATAACCAAATGGCCTGAGCCATGCCCTCAGTGACTCCAGGGAGGTATATCAAGTGGTTCATTCTTGTATCTGTCACAGGCCTGCTTTATTCAGTATCTTTGCTGATGGGTCAAGCAAAGGAACGTGAAACATTCCTCTCGAATCTGCAAGTAGCACTGAATGAAGGGGCATTACTAATACTCTGAAACATAAGAACCTGATCTTCTGTAACCTGAGCAACTGGAAAGCAGTAACACGTTCAGTGGGAACAGATTTGAGCCCAAGTTGGTCTCCTCATCTGTCAAGTCAGGAGATGGGATCAGTCAGTCCTTCTAGGAGCAGTAGGGGGCAGAAATTATAGACAGGGGTTTTTGGAGAGAGCAGGGCTGAGCTGAGCAGAGATTTCTGCTGTGCTCTGTACCTACCAGTCACTTAAAGCTATTTAACCTGGGAGGCTGAAGAAATGACTCAGCAGTTAAAAGCACTAACTGCAGAGGACCCAGGTTCAATTCCCAGCACCCACATGGTGGCTAAAAACCGTCCCTAACTCCAGTTCCAGGGGATCTGACACCTTCTTCTGACCTCCACAAGCATTGCATGACAAAGGTGCAAGCAATACACTACTCATAAAGATAATAAAATTTTTTAAAAAGCTATTTAACCTCTGCAGTTTGCTTTCCTTATCCATAAAATAGGGATCATAAGATCTACTTCACAGCAATGGCATGAGAATTAAGTGAGGGGACAGATGAACGCTGACATGTGACACTTACTTGGGAACTGCTCACTTCCTCCTGCCTCCATACAGCCAAACTAGAATGTTTCACAGAAGGCCAGCACTCCCAGCCTTCCTTCCTGACCCCCTCCCTTCTCCTCCCAGGCAAATCCTAGCTTGCCACCTTCCATGTGCAGCCATCACTCATGGGCAGACAGATCCCAACATCTGGCTGGTGCGGTTGCTGTGGTAAGATATATGGATGGGTGGTGAGGTATGCAGAACCAGGGGCTCCCAGAGGGCCTGCAGAATTAAGCCCAGCTTCTAGTCCTTGCACAGAAAGCACTTGGGATCTTGCTGGACTGCCTGGGTCTCCTTCCAACCATAGGGACCCAACATAGGCAGTAAGTGCAAAAGATGCTGCTTCCACAGGGCACCTTGGCATAACTGTTCCTTCTGCCTGGTCCACTTTCTCTGTCAGTTTTCCAGCAAACCCTTACTGCCTTTTTGAAGCCTCACTTCCTGGACCTACTTCCCCTTGGTCTTCTCCTCTCCTTTCCTACCCAGACTGAACCAATAGGTCTTGACTGACCCCCCTCCTCTCCTGTAATACCTACTACCCAGTCGTTCAACTGTCAGCATTATGCTAACAAGGCTGTGAACTCCTTGAAAGAAGCAACTGAGACTTTTATTTTTGTTGTTGTTGTTTGAGGCAGGGTCTCACTATGAACTCCAGGTTGGTCTTAAACTTAAAATCCTCCTGCCTCAGCCTCCCAAATGCAGGGACTAAAGACATGCACTGTGGTGCTTGGCTGATAGAGACTTACTTCTTCATGGTGGTATCCACATGCCTAAACTGGTGTACCCTGCACAGTGAGTGATTATCACATAGTAGACGTTCAATAAACAGCAAAGTTCATACACACAAATAGGACACATATACAAACCTTCAAATCTATGCAAATACAAAAGTACACAGGGATCCAGCATCACACAGACCTTCATGTTTCCACAATCACAAACAGGATTGAAATGGTTATAGCCCAGCCTGGCTATGTAGCCTAGGCTAATCTCAAACTTACAACAATCTTCTTGCTTTAGCATTCCAAGTGCTGATTATAGGCACGAGACACCACCTCTTTTTCTTTGTTTCTTTTTCTTTTTCTTTTTTTTTTTTAAAGGGGAGAGTACAAACACAGTCTCTCACTACCACAAATTATACAGTCCCGTTTCTCACATTTGGGGAAGTTGCAGGGGTCAGTACATTTAGAGTGCAATGGATAAGCCTTAAGCCTCGCCCTAGGAAAACTACCTTCATGATCATGGTATCTCCCCTGCCAGGTAAGTGTTGTTTCTTGCTTTTTGAGTGAGGGCCTCACTATGTAACTCATACTGTCCATGAGCTAATGATCCTCCTGCCTCTGTCTCCCAAGTGCCAGGCTTAACAGCCATATACCACAACACCCAGCCTAATACAATATACCTTCTAAACCTTAAACATAGTTGTCACTTTACATTTCGATAAGTTTCTATGGCTTTTAAAGCATCATCAGATAGGCCTATTAGATTAAACAGTTCCTATCAGTCTCTCTCTAAACTTCTGAGCTGATTTGACCTACATTTTAGTGCAGCTCACTGGATGGATTATTTTAAGCCACACACAACTTTGCCTTCTGACAAGCTGGGCTATGCCAACAATAATCCCTCACATTTGTACAGTAGAGCACAATCAACAAATCACTTCCACATATTCTTTTGTTGTTGTTGTTGGTTTGTTAAATGATCTCTCCTGTAGTACACGCTGGCCTGGAACTCACTATCTGTAGTTGAATTTGGCTGGAACTCCTGATCCTCCTGCCTCCATCTCCCAATTGCTGGGATTACAGGCATGTGCCACCAGGCCTGGCTCTATTTCATTCTGTTCTTATAGTCTACAGAAGTCAGAGTGGATGTCATGTTTTTCCATGACATGGCTGAGAAACTGAAGGTCAGAGAGGTTATGGGACTCATAGAGGGCAGAGGCAGGAGGGGAAGGCCTTCAGAATGAACACATCAACTTTCTCATTTGTGACCTGTGGGTCTTTCCAATATAGCATGCCACTATGCCCACCTGTGCCATATTCCACATACCCAGTGAGAACAAATATGCAGGCAGTGCACACCAATGGTGCACCTGGCATCCTGGCATTCACATACACACATCTCTCCATGCCTAGACACAGGCCATTGGCCCCCCAAGAGATCTGTGTCCCTGAAGCCCTTTCCCAGAAACAGCAAGAGAGATGTATGTGTTCTCGTTAGCACTTGTACCAGAAGCCACTGACCCAGCATCCATTGAACAGATGCCTCAAGTTGGTGTTTGGGTGGAGGGGACGAACTTGCTGGATCTAGCCAGCCACTTGCCCAGGCCCTCTGGGGCAAGAAGCATGTACAGCCTTTGCCAGCTGGCTGGCTGGCCTCCCGGAGATTGTCTGTGGTCATGGAATTGAGTGAAACAAATTGGCTTCTGCGGCAAGAAAAACCCTGCCCTGGGCTGCCTGAGCATCAGGCTTCAGGAGCCATGGTCATGCAGCACAGGCCCTGATACAGCATGTTTGGTGCAGGCCAGCCAGCACACACTCACATACAGTTGCCTAGTTCTTCCTACAGAGGCAAGGGTCAGAGACCAAAGACCTTGAGTGCTAGGAATTGCTGCACACACCTCAGAACCTTCAGAGCTCTGTATTTTTTCTGATCTCAGTCATTTCCCAAAGCTCATCAGCCTTGACTCCAGTAATTCAACAGTATTCAGCAAACATTCATTGGCTACATAGGATAATACTGATGGAAGTTATCCCTCCTCTACAAAGATCACATTCCTAGAAACAGGGGGCATATCTTAATGTCCCCTTTGAGTCCACTTTAGCTCATGGATACTGTTCATAGCAGGTGATTTGTAAATGCTAAATGATTAGAATCGGCTAGGGCATCCATCCTGCCTCCACAAGCTTCCTGCCTTGACAGACATCACCAGCTTCTAAAAAAACTCAAACACAAGTTGGGCTGAATCTCACTCCCACCATCAGATCAGGCACAGGAGGTATGCTCAAAATATCTACTGAGCACCTACTGTGTATTAGACATAAATGGAGCTCAGTCTAGAGTGAGAGGTGACATGTAAACAAGCCCACGGCTGATGCTGTGCTGAGGGCCAGAGTAGAGCATGCCCACTGCTCTGTTGGCAGCCAGCCCTGTGGGCATCAAGCCCACTCATGGCTGCTCCTTCAGCAGCCCACCCCAGTTCTGGGCTTCCCTGGATTTACAGAGGGAGTGAGTCCAGATGAAATTACTTTGCAGTCATATCATTTATGCCAAGTTTCCTAACCTCTCTATGTCTCAGTTCCCAACCTGTGAGATGGGGATACAGCAGGTGCCTCCCAGGTTACTATGAACATCAGATTAATTGCTGTGTAAAAGATGCCTTCAGAAGGCCTTCCACACTATATGGTGAAGTGAGATGCACACAGATCATACCTCTAATTGCACAGCCCCGGTGCCAGGGAGGAAGGACCCATTTCCTAACTGTCCTGGTTACCTGCTCCAGCTCAGCTCCCTGAGTCCCCTCTGCATAGGTGAGTCTGGTTTTCTACACTTTCCGTAGGGGACCTGCCTTCTCAGCTATCTGAGCTCCAACCCTAGCTTTGTCATTTAGAGCAAGAGTTACCCAAGTGATCATAGGCCTGGATGTGGTCCTACTCATACTCCTGAAAGTACCCATAGCAGAAGGTAGGTCTCACTGCCATTGGCCTTGATTTCCCTTCTGTCCCAAGGATCAGGGACCTCAGGCCTTTTATGCCTGTGTACTTGAAGAGACAAGCATTCCTCTGCATGCCAGGCTCATAGGAGAATCCAAGCCACATTCCACATACCTTACCTAGGCTCCCTATGCCTCTACCATGGCCCTGAGTAGCCCTTCTAGAGAGGGGCAGGCAGACAGGTAAGGAGGAAGACAGGCAGGCAGCTGGGCAGATGGATAAATGACAGTTATCCAAAATACATGTAGCAGGTCCCTAAGCTAATCACTCACTCACACACCATCTATTGAACCATCTCAGGCTAATGGGGTGCTGACTCTAGGCTTTGCATTCATGCTGCTGAGTCACACACACAGCACAGTCCAGATGCAAATACAGGTCTGTCTCTAGGGCCTGGCTGACCCTGTCCAAGACCTTACTGACAACATGACTAAGCTTGACAGTTCCTAACATCTAATGTAAGAAAATTTTAGACAATCTAAAGCCCAAAGCCTAGATCTTGGTCCGTTCTAGTGGGCTGTGAACATCACAAGCCTATTGCATGTGCCCAGAAACCCAATAACTCTACTAAGTAGAAATGTACATGTCATTATCATATGGAAAAGGGAAAGAGGCTTCTCTGTTAACTATTGGGAAGTCCTATGGGGGATGATCTTTAAAGGTCTCTATTATGACTAGTCACCCCTAAGTGACCACATGGGGATATCTGAGTGCAATAAAGGCAAAGCATGCCCCCCAAATGCTGTGTTCCTGCAGACCTATGGACTCCAAAACCACTGAGATTTAGATCTGATGGGGACCCTACCCACAGATGCCCTTGAGTTTGTGTACCATGGAGAGGAAGTACCCAGGGTCCAGGGGAAATCCATACTTACCAGGCCTCTGGGATGGACTTAAGAGGAGGGAGGAAAAGAAGGAGCCCCAGCCTGGCCACATGCGTACATGTGCACATCTATACACACACACATGCATGTTGTGACCCCCAATATAAATCTGTACCCCTGCAGTCCCTTCTACCCCACAACAGAAAAGGACAAGGTTGGTAAAGCTGCCTGGAGGCCTCTCCACCTCTCCTAGTCACCTTTCTACCTTCCTATCCCCTGTCCTTTACTAGATCCTCCATGAATGGCATCTGGTTCATCCCACAGACTTGTGGAGCTTGACTGTGTGCTAGGTACCCTTCTGAAGTAACCCAGTAATGGAGAGAAGAAGAGAAATAAGTCCAGAGAGGGAGAAATGGAGAGAAGCTAGACGTTTATAGCCGTGTCTTCAGTAAAGAGGATCTATCTGGGGGTTGTACATGATAAGCAAGAGAGATAAGCCTGAGCATAGGAGTTCCAGGCAGAGTAGAAGTATCCTCCACATTCACAAAGGCAAGAGCTACAGACTACCAGCTCTCACTCTAAATAAACACCCTTGAACCTGCAGCAGAAGAAATCCATTAAGCATTGTGGAGCATCACAGCTGGGAGCCCCTGTTCACTCCATCCCCCTTCACCAGGGAGGCACCCCAGGACCTGCCACTATATCATACCACTCACTAGCTGTTGAGACTTTAGACCAGTGACTTAGCCTCTCTGAGCCCCAATTTCGTCCTTAATAAGAAAGAATAATGAAAATTTTTGTGGGCAAATGCAAGTAGTAAATAAGACAACGCACACGTACATAGTGCCTAGTAGACAGTACTGCATATCTTGGCCACTGAACTTCTCATGCCGTAGAAAATGGGTGCACGAAGATTCAGGGAAATAACCTGGGGTTATCCTGGCTAGCTCTAGTTCTTATGTGGGGGTCTGAAGAGGCCCCTGAACACTCTTGGTCCTTTCCCCTCCACAGGGCTGGCCTCTTCTTCCACTTCCCCTCTGAGTTCCTAGCCTCTCTTACTGCTTGTCCTCCCTATAAATCTTGTTCCTGTGCTGTGGTCACATACCAGTGCACTTTCCCCCAGTTCTTGAAGCCCTCCTCAGACCTGCTCAGCTCCCAGCCTCCTCTAGCAGCACACCCTGCCCAGCCTATGGATGGCAGGATGCAGGAGAAGGAACTCACTTCCACAGACCTCTCTGCACTCTCTGAGGCAAGTGTGTTCAACTTTACCTGTCACTCCCTTTCTGTACCCCATCTGCCTGACACAGGGCTTCCTGGAAGGGTTGGATGCCATTTTCTCTGGCTCTTATCCACAACATCCCTTCTGCATACTACTTCATCCCACTGCAGGCCCCAGGGAATTGTGTGCAAGAGGGATTGAGACCCCTCCCTTCTGGGCTACAGACCACAGGACAACATCCAAACCAACTGTTCTCAAGTGTTAGGGGTGATGATTCCCAGGCTCCAAAACCTGAGAGTTCCTGACTTGGCCTTGTACCTTACAGTTACCACATGTCTAAAGGAGATGTTGATGTGCTTGGTTTAGGAGTCATATTCTGAGAACCACTGGTCTCCTGCAGACTGTAACCAAGAGTAAAGCCAGGGCTTTCCCAGAGAGGGGAGAAATCAAGGAAGAGGACAGCAGGTGAGGTATAGAAGAAACAAAAGCCTGAAGCCCAGCAAGGGCACAAACAGTTATCTGGAAGCAGCAGGAATGACCAAACAGGCAGGTGGAGCTGGCCAATGAAAGGTATCTGAAGGCAGCCACACCTCTTCCCTCAGGTTCAGCAAATGGCTCCACTATGCCAGGTGCCTATGGCATCTCTGTGGACTCCTTGGGCTGCAGAGCAAGTGTCCCTCCTTTGTAGCTACACAATGTCCCTGCCCCAGGCTGGCTTTCAAGGACGGCTATGGCAGCTGTCTGTGTCTCTACCTGCCTTCACCAGGCAGCTCCTTGGTGCTTGCTGGAGGCAGCCCAAAAGTGCCAAGGAGGAGTTCCAGGTGAGTCGGCATAAGCGTTGTGGGTGTAGGTGGCTGAAGAGGAGGCCCAGTTGAGCTCTAATGCTTAGCTGTCCAGATGGACGCCATCTTTTAGTGCAACAGCCCCTGCCAGTGTGTGAGTGTACCTATTCTATCAGCCCCAGAATCTGGGGCTGGGCGTGTGTTTGTTGCTGCCAGAACCAGAGCAGTTACTATGTGTCGATAATAATAGCAATCATAATCCCTCATAATTGGACCAGACTTTGCTGTCTGCAGGGCACTTCCCTGCCCATGACCTCATTTGACTTCACAGCCGCCCTGTAAGACAAGCAAGGCTAGAGTACTATCCCCATTTTCCAGCTGAGCAAACACAAGCCCAGATGGCCTGAAGTCACATCTCCAGTAAGGGACAGCCCTAGGCTTGGGGCTGGGGATTCGGACTCCTTGAACAGTGTTCTTCCCCTGCTCAGTCCTGACTTGCTGCTGTTTGGGAAGGGATGCGCAGTCCAGTAATAGGAGTCTGTCCTACCTGTGGTAGCTGAAGGGTACATGAAGGTGTGTCAGCATCTGTCAGGATAAGAGGCCAGGGCAGGGGAGGCTCAGAGTCTCAATCCAGCTGGGAAACAAAGCCTGGTTGGCCCATGGAAGGGAGGGAATTAGCCTCAACTTCCAATGCAGAGCATAGGCTGTTGCAAGTGTCCCTTATGGCCTGTAGGGGAACCTGGATATCAGTCACTTCCCATGGGATCAAAAAGGAGGGGCTGGGGAGCTAGAAATGTAGTTCTGCATGCCTCAGGCCTTAGGTTTGATCACTGCATAAACCAGGTACAGTAGCATATGCCTGTGCCCAACACTCAGGAGGTGGAGGCAGGAGGATCTGAAGTTTAAGGTCATCCTTTACTACATAGGGAGCTGAAAGGCCAGGTTGTATACGACAATGTCTCAAATTAAAAGAAAAAATAATAAAAAAGAAAGGAAGAAAAAAGAGAAAGAGAGACAAGCTAAGAGTTTAGGGACCCTCCATCCAGGGGTACACAGTGACTCCCAGATTGCAGTACATGGTGAACTTTGTGAATTCATACACACACACACACACACACACACACACACACACACACACACACACTTGGCACTTGCAGGGTTACAGGCTGGGAAAACAGATCACTGGGCTTTGTGTTCACACCTGTGTGTGGGGGGGATCCATGTCTACATCAGGACTATGGGTGGTCATGATAAGGGCTCAGATCTGGGAGGCAGAAGACCAGGCCCTCATCTGGGCCCACCACTGACTAGCTAGGCTCAGTATCCTTTCTATAAACTAGGGCCATCTCTCTCACCTCATTTATTTCAAGGGTTTTCCCAGGACAAAAGAAACAATGGATGGAAACCACCCAGAACACAGAAACACACACTAAAGATGAGTAAGCCAAGAAGAGGGTGGGCATGGGTGAAGAGGGCTCCCAGCTGCTACCTCTTGCCCAGAGGGCTGAGGCCCCACACCTGAACCAGGTGGACACTTCTTGTCAAAAGAATAAACTCTTTTCTGGGAACAAGAGTAGACAAGCATTAGACTCCTCCCAGTGGAGTTCATCTACTAACAGGGACACAGAGTCCAGTGCTGGAGTTAAGAGGCCATAGGTATTAAGGTCCCAAGTCAGCCCTTGTGACCTCTTCAGAGATTCCCATCCATCTGATGAAATTCTCTTTGACTTGATCTGGACCTGGAGTTTGGAAGGAGAGTGAAATGGTCACCCCTTATGGGACTCTGGAAACACAGATGTCACCAGTTCCATGGCTAGAAGCCACGTTACCCAGTGATGCTCACTGAGAGCCTGGAGTGGTGGGTGGAGCATTACCATCTCCATGGGTTGATGATGTCACTTGCTCCAGAGCATCTGAACACAGCCCCATGCCTATGTCTGCGTGGGTGGTTAGTCTCAAGTCTATAGTGCCCCAGAAAGCTACTGAGCTTGGGGAAGAATAGGGGCAGCTTGTCCAACACAATGGTACAGTGGTTTACCGAGGTCTCACATTAGATGGGGCAGATCCAAACAGGAATCCAGGTTTGGGGCCCCTGTGAAGCTGACCCCTTGAAGTTGCATGAACCTGGTGTTTGAGCCTGTGCTCAAATAATACAGTGGTTGAAAGCTGGGGTCTTGGAGTCAAACTATCTGGGTTCAAATTCTTACCCTACCTCCAAAATTCAACTTTTCCAAGTCTCAGTTTCCCAGCACCTACTGCCAGGGCCAAGCGATGGGTATGACCCTGACCTCAATATCTCAGCACATCTGAGCTGTCCTATGGGGATAAGCCCCTCTTGCTTCCAGGGAACCAGCAGCAACGGTCCCCTACAGAACTAGGTGGGCTGCTCACCTTCCGGTCTTCCTCCCGCTCAGGAGCAGAGCTGCTGTTGTCCCCGGGGCCGCTGGAGGGCATTTTGGGCAGCTGGGCGGTGGGAGGCAGGCTGGGGCTGCGAGGCTGCCGGACTGCCGGGCTGCCGGGCTTCAGGAAGGAATTATCGTGGTCTTTGTAAGCAAAAGTTAAAACTTCTACATAGATCCTGATGTCAAGCCTGTGATGAGCGCTGCCTCAGTATGCCTTTGGGGTTGGGCCCCCGATGTAGATGTCTCTGCCTGTGGGGAAAATAAATTGGTCAGCAGGGCAGGGACCACGAGCCAGTTCTCACCTGACTCTAGCCCCTCCCAGGGTTGGTCTCCAGCCCATGGCTAGCCTGGCTTCTGACAATCCCCGCAGCTCACCAGTGCCCACGAGGATGGGAAACTGAGGCAGCCTTAGCCTTTGGCTGTCACCTCCTCTGAGAGCCTAGAGGCTGTGACAGTCCCCTTCAGAGCCTCAAAGGGCTTTTAGTCCTACTTCTGGGACTTCCAGAGGCCCCAGCTTCTGTGTTCTTCCCTCTGAATGGTTCCACCACCCTCCTTCCACCCCAACCAGCCCCTGGGAAACCCCAGCCACCCCCAGAGGCCCCCAGCCCAGCTACATTTTCCTTCTACTTTGTCCTCACCCGACCCCCAACCCCACCCCCACATCGCTCCCCACGTGGAGGAAGTGAGCACAGTTACAGGATGTAGTGAAATGAATGTCAAAGTCACCTAGCACAGCTAGCTCAGAGCTGGCGCCCTGCTGACAAAGCTGGGGCCTGAATTCAGGCTGTGCTCCGTTGACTGTTGGGTTTGCTCTTTAGGGGGTGCCACGATGGGAGGCCACGGCCATGGCCACACTGAAGAACGCCAGACGCTCTCTCCCCAGCCCAGGCCCCAGGCCCCATTTGCCTTGGGAGCTGGGGGCTTGGGCAGGCCCTTCCAAACACATAGTTAGATTTTAGGGGTTTTTTCTGGCTCCTTGCTCCAGGTGTGGGCCTCAAGCCAGTGAAATAACAAAGCCCGAGCCTCAGGCCACAGCTGGGGGGTAGGGTGTTACTGTGAATTCAACCCCCTCACTCGGAGAGTAGTGCAGCGTTCCCCAGCTCCCCAACCCAGGAGACAGCGCCAAGCCCCCGCCTCAAGTGCGCTCCTGCCCGAGAGGGATTGGCAGCCTCCTAGAGTAGGAGACAGGCTGGATCCGGGCCACCCACACCCTTCCCCTTCCAGTTCCCCGTGGTTCGGATTCCCGTGCCCCTCCCTCTTGGGCCTTTCCTCCCATCCCCCTCTGCCAGGGCTCCCTGGAAAACCAGGAACCGGAGACTGCTGCGGCAGGCCTGACTCCCACAGGTCCTGCCCTTTCCCAAGGGGACTGGTGACAGCCTGGGAAGTCGGTACCCCAGTTTGGGCTCTGCACTGAGAGAGGTGGGAGAAAGGTGGAGCTAGAAGGCACCTTTGAAGGGCCGGGAGAGAAAAGAAGTTAAATAAAAGCCTCTAGGTGTCCCACAGCTGCACTTTACCCCCCACAGCCCCTAAGCTTGGCTGGGTGCTAGGGTCAGTGAAGCCTGACTGCACAAGTGCCAGAGCACCCACCACCACGAGAGCAGCTCCATATAAGCCACTGTGCTGAGCACATGATCTGCGTTCCTCATGTCGGGGCTCCTAGTTTACCCCTGAATCTACGGCTCAAACAGTTGGGACATGTCTGAGATGTGAGCCAGATCTTGACTCTGGGCTCTGAGGGGCTGAATTACTCTTGGTTCAACCCAGTACTCTAAGTGGCTGCTCTAGCTTCCTGCTATTGGCCAGTGATTCCTTCCAAAGCCCTTTTGTGACCACAGTTTCCAATCACCCCCAAATCAAGACCTTGAAAAGGAGGTGAACACTATGGAGGCAGAGTCTGGTAGGAAAGAACACTGAACCCAAAGTTAGCAGAGTTTGGGTTCTGACAAAGGGCACCTCTGCCCCTCAGTGTAGTCATCAGTAAGAGGGGAGCTGAGCTGGCTGACTTCCAGGACCTTTTCCAGCTCTGACCTGCCAGGCTGTTGGGGGCCTCACAGGCAACGAGGAAGGGAGGTGCAGGCAGACAAGACAGGACACTTTAAAGGCCCCAAAATGGAGTCAGAATTGTCACAAACGTTAAACCAACAGGAGTTAGAAGTAAGGGACTGGAATTAGTCTGCTCTAAAGTCAAGACACTCGAGGAAACCTGCATCTGCTGGGGTTCTTCCAGAAGAGCCCCTGTCCTCAGAGGAAGAGGAAAAGCAGAACATCACAGGGCATTGACCCTGAGGACAGATACCCCGGAAAAGAAAGGGAAGGAAATGTTTCTTCCTCCTCCTCTTCCTCCACCCAAGCCCCTGACACATGAGTTTCATGAACTGTCCTCCAGGAAATGAAGCAGTCCTGGGTCAAACCTAGGTCCCCTCATGTTGCTCAGGGACCTCAAAATCCCTGAGCATCATCTAAAATCACCAGTGTGTGGCTAGGCAGGGCCCCACTTGGTAGCTGAGGTCCCAGGCTTGGACACAGCACTGCCTGCCTGCACTCAGGAACCACTTTCTTTTCTGAAGCCACCCTGGCTGCAGGGAGCATCAGGCTACTGTACCACTGTCTCAAGCTAGCATCAGGCACTCAAGCTGTCAGAACATGCTCCTCATCCAGGCTAAGGAGTACCACAAAGCCTGTCACCCCAGAAAATCCTCACCAAGAGCCCAGCCATCACCACCAGCAGTTCTCATTTTCTCTTTGCTAATTTTTCATGTCCACAGTGACCCTGAATAATGTTTCTAAACGACATAAAAATGCTCATCCATGAATTTCTGATTCTCCTGCCTCCACCTCCTGAGTGCTAGAATTAGCAGTGTGTACCACCACAGCTAATTTACATGGTTCTGGGGATCAAACCCAGGGCCTTGTGCATGCTAGGCAAGAACATCATTAACTGAGCTACATCTGCAGCCCCTGGCTTTTGTTTTATTTCTTTGGTGGTGGTTGTTGAGGCAGGGTCTAATGTAGCCCAGGCTGGTCTCAAACATACTATGTCCCTGAGGATGGCCTTGAACTCCTGATCCTCCTGCCTCTACCACTTAAGTGTTGGGATTACAGGCCTGTGCCACCATGCCTAGCAAGAGCTGAGATATTGACTATATTCCACATTTTACCACCTTCTTCAACCAGTAGAAAGATATTTCTTAAGAAGAAGTAAAATGACAAGGTTGGACTGAACAAGGCAAGAGACATTACCAACAAATTTTCAGGATTGAGAAAGCAACGTAACAGCCAAATTAGAGACAGGAGTATAAAAGCCAATTTTCAACGTATGGTCCTTAACAGATGCTTGTCACCATAGCACCAGGTACCTGTGGGACTAGACTGAGGAGGATACATGTGTACAAACAGAAGTTGGCTATAAGAAGTGAAATCCCTAGGTCTACTTCCCCTGAAGTCTTAATTTCAGATTCTCTGGAGGGCTTAACATCGGGGTCTCTGCAGTCACCAGGCACAGCTGAGCTAGAGCTGACATAGCCAAGGCAGGCAGAGAGAAGTAAATTTAAATGCTGATGTGAGTTCCTCAGGATGTTCCTCTACTGGGCTGGGGAACAGTGGGAGCCAGAGCCTAGCCTTCAGTCTAAGACAAAAGGCCTAAGGATGCCAGTGCTGACATCAACGCCACACGGAGTCAGAATGATTGTTTCAGGTCCACCAGTGTGACCTGGCAGTTGTCAACTCCACCCTCAGACCCAGAGCTTCCAATCCACTTTTTAGTCCACTGAGTTGATTGGTTTATTTCAGTTATTGATTGTTTGGAGGTTTTGCTTTTTTGTTTTTTGTTTTGTTTTTAAGGCAGGGTCTCATTTTTTGCCCAAGATGGCCTGGAACTTTCTATGTAACCCAAGATAGCCTCAAACTAGTGATATTCCTACCTCTGCCACTTGAGTTTACAAACATGGACCACCACATCTGGCCAGTCCTCTATTCTTAATCCAGAAAGGACAACCAAGGGTCACCAGAGCCTCTGACTTAGAAAATAGGGACCAGAATAAATAAACCAAAATCATACTGGAACAAACACAACAATGAGAAAAAGAACCTGACAAAACCAAACATTATGAGATGTTTCTATAGCCATAAAATAAGAATGTGATATTAAGAAAGAAATTTAAAGAGAACAAATGAAACTTCTAAAAATACAAACTCGGGTTGGTAGAAATGCAAAGCTCAATAGCTGACTGAAAATAGAATGACTGATCATGATCCAGGAATCCCACCATCCCACTGTATATCCAAAGGAGATAGAACAAGATGTCAGAGATACCTGTACTCTGAGTTTACCATAGTGCTATCAGCAATGGGGACTCAACCTAAGCATTCCCCAGTGGATGACAAATTAAGAGAAGATGTTGTATACACAAAAAAGCATTGTTCAGTTTTAAAATTGAATGAAGTCCTGTCATTTGTGGCAACGTGGAAGAGCTGGGAGGACATTATATTAAGAGAAATAATCAGACATGATCTTATTCATATATAGTTTTCCATGTTTATCTCACAGAAGTACAGAGTAGCAATTAGCAAAGGAAGGGAAGAGGGGAGTGAGGGAGGGTAGAGAGAAGATGGTTAACAGGTACAGGGGTACAGTTGAATAGGAGGAATAACTTTCAATGCTCAATAGCATAGTAGGGTAAAAATGGCTGACACTAATTAATTGGGTATTTAAAAATAGCTAGTAAAAGGAGTTTGAGTGTTCCTGCCACAAAGAAATGACCAATGTTGAAGGTGATTACTATGCCAATTTCCCTGATCTGATCAGTACACATTTATACAGAAGTTCTGAAATGTCACAATGCGAGCTGGGGAGTTGGTAAAGCACCTGCTGACAAGTATGACAACTGAGTTCAGATCCACAGACTCTGTAAAAGCCAGACAGATACATTAGCACTAGTATCCATAATCTTAGCATGCTCCTGCCCCTACCAGGAGATGGGAGGCAGAGACAGAAAAACCACCAGAAGCCAGCTAGCTTAATGTATAAAACAGTGAACAAGAGAGACCCCGTCTCAAAATATATGATGGAAGGCAAGGACCAATACTTGACATTGTCCTCTGACTTCCGCAAGAGTACTGATACATGTTCACATACCCCCCCCACACACACACACAAGAAAAATGATAATGTGCCCATAAATCTGTACCATTATTGTCATTTAGAAGTGGTTCATTAAAAAGAAAAAAATAATGGACAGGATAGTGCATAA